GTGACCTCAGTAGGTGGACGAGGGGATGATCCTCTTGGATAGGAGTGATCCTCAGGTGGGATGGGGTGACCTCGGGTGGGATGGGGGATTGATCCTCAGTAGGTTGAGGACCCTCAGGGGGACGGTGATTCTCAGGTGGGACGAGAATGATCCATGTGAGGGTGTCCCGGGGGACGATGATCCTAGTTGGGCGAGTGAGGAGTGATCTTCAGTAGGTGGGAGAGGGGAGTGATCCTCAAAGGTGGGCGAGTGAGGAGTGACCCCCGTAGGGGAAAAGGGGTGACCCTCAGGGGCAGGAGTGATCTCATCGGGGGACAAGGGTGATCTTAGTGGGGGAAAGGGAGTGCCCCAGGGGGAAAAAAAAAGGAGTGATCCTCAGGGGGGACAGGAGTGATCCTCAGTAGGGGGGTGAAAATGTTTTTCCCAGGGGGACAAAGGGGGAATGATCCTCAGTAGTGGGACAAGTGAGGAGTGCTGCAGTAGGGGACGAGGAGGAGTGATCCTCATAGGGGGACAGCGAGGATGACCCTCAGTGGGTGGGAAAAAGTGGGGTGTCCTAGTGGGTGGGACAGTGGGGAATGATCCTCAGTAGGTGGGACAGTGAGGAGTGAGATACTCATAGGTGGGCCCAGTGAAAGTGATCCAAGTAGGTGGGACGAGTGGGGAAAGTGTTTCTCAGTAGGTGGACAGTGAGGAGTGATCCTCAGTGGTTGATGATGACAAATGAGTCAAATTTAGACAGTGAAGAATGAAACTCAAACAGGAGGCGAACGAGGAACTCTTAATGAAGAGCTAGATGGTCCTGGAAGATTTAGGTACGGGGAAGGAATGTTTTTTGGGAATGAGGATGATTATTACAAAATTAACTTGAGAATTGATACTTGAACAACATGAGAACTGAGGAATGATCCTCAAAAAAGGGGAAGGGTGATCCTCGTTCTAAAAATTAGGTCAATAGGGAATGACCTCGACAACATGTATGATAGGGTGTAAAATTGTGGGTTGGCTCTAGAATTGTTGCATTGGGTTTAGTTGTTTGAATTTTCCAGCATGCACTGTGCACATAACATTACAACAATGTTGTGTAACATGATGTTGGTGTACCAATAAGTGTTGGAGAGTGTTGTTGAGTGTAAGTATGTATGGTGTTTGATGGGGTTCCTCACTTTTTCTTACACCTTTTCGTACGTCGCCTGTGGGCCGGCCGGCAGTCAATCGCCGGTGACTGAGCTGGGTCGGGCGAGCGATTCCTCGGGGAGCGGCTATTGGTTCAAACCGAAGTAACCCTTGGTGCGTGGTTGGGGATCCACGTAACAAAGGTCCTGAGGACCTTTGGACGAGTCACCCCGGCCAAGCCCCAGGTCGCAGACCTCACCGTGTGGTGGGCTGTGATAACTTGAAAATTTCATCTATTATAGCAGCATTGTAGTTTTGCAATTTTATTCAGGAAATACAATCTAAGATCATTCAATACATCTTGTCTGTTGCAAATTAGTCACAGTTGAAAAAAGGATGGTAAATAAGTAACTGGATTTACTTATATATATATATATATATATATATATATATATATATATATATATATATATATATATATATATATATATATATATATATATATTATATATATATTATACTTACTTACTTACTTTTTATTTACTTATTTTTATATAGCGGACTTGAGTCCTAGAAATGGGAAGTACAATGCCTGCACTTTAAAGGATTATTATAATCAACGGGGAAGCGCTAAACCCAGAGGATTATACAGCAACACTTTAAAGGAGGGGTTCGGGATATTAGCAGTTTGGAGGGATATGTTGTGTATCTTTGTACGTATATGCTTCTAACTGCTGTATTCTGAGCACCTCTGCAAAAACAGTGATAATGTGCGAGTGTGGTGAAAGTGTTGAATGATGATGAAAGTATTTTCTTTTTGGGGATTTTTTTTTTCTTTTTGGGTCACCCTGCCTTGGTGGGAGACGGTTGACTTGTTCAAAAAAAAAATGCGGCCTCTCCTCACTTTACGACGGAGTTCCGTTCCTGAGACCACGTCGGTAAATGAATTCGTGGCTAAGTGAGGATCATACTATAATGGTAGTGGGTTTGTGTCGACCATCTTTGATATTGTTATAATGTCACCTTTGTACCATTTATAACACTGTACGTATATTGTAATAAACAGAATAGAGGAAATCTGCTGTAATATACATTATTTAGGTAAGCATACTGGTCAGAGTCCGTTGTAAGTCCGAGTCGTCGGTAAATGAGTACGTCACTGAGTGAGGAGATGCTGTGTGTATATAAAGCAATTGAATGATAAACTTTATATCCATCCAGCTTAAGGGAGGAGGGGTGGTAATTAATGCTAGTAAGGCTCTTGATCCAAGGAATTGAACACATCCTCCCTTGGATCAAACCTGATTGCTTCCTATTCCCCAGTATTGTATCACCCCTGTGGGTTTAAAACTGCACTAAATACCCCAGGTTTTGTATAACCTCCCAGGTGTATGATCCAGGTGTTGTATGACCCCCAGGTGTTGTATGACCCCCCAGGTGTTGTATGACCCCCCAGTGTGTGTATGACCCCCCGAGTGTTGTTATACCTTCCCAGGTGTATGATCCAGGTGTTGTATGACCCCCAGGTGTTGTATGACCCCCCAGGTGTTGTATGACCCCCCAGGTGTTGTATGACCCCCCAGGTGTTGTATGACCCCCCAGGTGTTGTATGACCTTCCCAGGTGTATGATCCAGGTGTTGTATGACCCCCAGGTGTTGTAAGACCCCCCCAGGTGTTGATGACCTTCCCAGTGTTGTAATGGCCCCCAGGTGTTGTATGACCCCCCAGGTGTTGTATGACCCCCCAGGTGTTGTATGACCCCCCAGGTGTTGTATGACCTTCCCAGGTGTATGATCCAGGTGTTGTATGACCAACAGGTGTTGTAAGACCCCCCAGGTGTTGTATGACCTTCCCAGGTGTTGTATGGCCCCCCAGGTGTTGTATGACCTTCCCAGGTGTATGATCCAGGTGTTGTATGACCAACAGGTGTTGTATGACCCCCAGGTTTGTATGACCCCCCAGGTGTTGTATGACCTTCCCAGGTGTTGTATGGCCCCCCAGGTGTTGTATGACCTCCCAGGTGTTGTATGACCCCCCAAGTGTTGTATTACCTCTCAGGTGTTGTATGACCCCCAGGTGTTGTATGACCCCCAGGTATTGTATGACTCCCCTAGGTATTGTATGATTCCCCCCAGGTATTGTGATGGTGGTGGAGTGAAGGTCCTCCAAAATTCAGAGGATTGTCCTTCAACAGTAAGATCAGATTCTGTTGGAATTCTTAACCCTGGTGGGTTAGCCAGCCAGGATAACCCAGGGTAGGGAGTGTTAGCCAGACAGGATAACCCAGGGTAGGGAGTGTTAGCCGGCCAGGGTAACCTAGGGTATTGCGTGTTAGTCAGCCAGGATAACCCAGGGTAGGGAGTGTTAACCAGCCAGGATAACCCAGGGTAGGGAGTGTTAACCAGCCGGGATAACCCAGGGTAGGGAGTGTTAACCAGCCGGGATAACCCAGGGTAAGGAGTGTTAACCAGCCAGGTTAACCCAGGGTAGGGAGTGTTAACCAGCTGGGATAACCCAGGGTAGGGAGTGTTAACCAGCCAGGATAACCCAGGGTAGGGAGTGTTAACCAGCCAGGATAACCCAGGGTAGGGAGTGTTAGCCAGCCAGGATAACCCAGGGTAGGGAGTGTTAGCCAGCCAGGATAACCCAGGGCAGGGAGTGTTAGCCAGCCAGGATAACCCAGGGTAGGGAGTGTTAGCCAGCCAGGATAACCCAGGGTAGGGAGTGTTAGTCAGCCAGGATAACCCAGGGTAGGAGTGTTAGTCAGCCAGGATAACCCAGGGTAGGGAGTGTTAGTCAGCCAGGATAACCCAGGGTAGGGAGTGTTAGTCAGCCAGGATAACCCAGGTTAGGGAGTGTTAGCCAGCCAGGATAACCCAGGGTAGGGAGTGTTAGCCAGCCAGGATAACCCATGGTAGGGAGTGTTAGCCAGCCAGGATAACCCAGGGTAGGGAGTGTTAGCCAGCCAGGATAACCCAGGGTAGGGAGTGTTAGCCAGCCAGGATAACCCAGGTAGGGAGTGTTAGCCAGCCAGGATAACCCAGGGTAGGGAGTGTTAGCCAGCCAGGATAACCCAGGGTAGGGAGTGTTAGCCAGCCAGGATAACCCAGGGTAGGGAGTGTTAGCCAAGCCAGGATAACCCATGTAGGGGAGTGTTAACCAGCCAGGATAACCCAGGGTAGGGAGTGTTAGCCAGCCAGGATAACCCAGCGTAGGGAGTGTTAACCAGCCAGGATAACCCAGGGTAGGGAGTGTTAGCCAGCCAGGATAACCCAGGGTAGGGAGTGTTAGCCAGCCAGGAAACCCAGGTAGGAGTGTTAGCCAGCCAGGATAACCCAGCGTAGGGAGTGTTAACCAGCCAGGATAACCCAGGGTAGGGAGTGTTAGCCAGCCAGGATAACCCAGGGTAGGGAGTGTTAACCAGCCAGGATAACCCAAGAAAGTCAGTGGGTCATCCAGGATTGTGGTCCTTCAGTTGTATTCCCCCAGGATGCCACCCACACCAGTCACCTAACACCCAGGTACCTACTTATTCCTAGGTAAACGGGGTTAGCAGGTGTAAGTTGACTAACACCCAGTGTTTTCACTCTTTCCAGGGATCGAACCCAGACACTCAGTGTGTGACGCCAGAGTTTTGCCTACCAGGACACTCCAACAACAGTATAGATGTAGAGCTTCTCCAACAGGTAGTTCTTACACTCCAACAATACAGAGCTTCTCCAACAGGGAGTACTTATACTCCAACAACAGTACGGAGCTTCAACAGTGAGCTGTGATCAGCGCCCTTGTGGGTTTATCGCCGAGTTTTGCTGGTTAAAACAAGTCAGCCCTTACACCCAACACTACAACTTCTCCAACAGTGTCAGCCCTTACACCCAACACTACAGCTCCAACAGTGTCAGCCCTTACACCCAACACTACAGCTCGAACAGTGGCAGCCCTCCAACACTACAGCTCCAACAGTGGCAGCCCTCCAACACTACAGCTCCAACAGTGTCAGCTCTTACCCTCCAACAACACTGCTCCTCCAACAGTCAGCTCGAACAATGTCAAGAGTGTCAGCACTGGTCATCTCCAACACTCGCACCTTCTCCACCACAAGTCTCCAACATGGCAAGAGAAACTTTCGTAAATTCTTGATGTACGGCAAGAGAGGAACTAAACAACTGAAGAAGGAGATGATGACCAAGCCAGACCCAGAGTTAGCACAGGTGTTTGGTGAGTTATTATAGGTGTTTGATGAGTTATTATAGGTGTTTGGTGAGTTATTATAGGTGTTTGGTGAGTTAGCACAGGTGTTTGGTGAGTTAGCACAGGTGTTTGATGAGTTAGCACAGGTGTTTGATGAGTTATTATAGGTGTTTGGTGAGTTAACACAGGTGTTTGGTGAGTTAGCACAGGTGTTTGGTGAGTTAGCACAGGTGTTTGGTGAGTTATTATAGGTGTTTGGTGAGTTAACACAGGTGTTTGGTGAGTTAGCACAGGTGTTTGGTGAGTTATTATAGGTGTTTGATGTTAGCGTAGGTGTTTGGTGAGTTAGCACAGGTGTTTGGTGAGTTAGCACAGGTGTTTGGTGAGTTAGCACAAGTGTTTGGTGAGTTAGCGTAGGTGTTTGGTGAGTTAGCACAGGCGTTTGGTGAGTTAACACAGGTGTTTGGTGAGTTAACACAGGTGTTTGGTGAGTTAGCACAGGTGTTTGATGAGTTATTATAGGTGTTTGGTGAGTTAACACAGGTGTTTGGTGAGTTAGCACAGGTGTTTGGTGAGTTAACACAGGTGTTTGGTGAGTTAGCACAGGTGTTTGGTGAGTTAACACAGGTGTTTGGTGAGTTAACACAGGTGTTTGGTGAGTTAGCACAGGTGTTTGGTGAGTTATTATAGGTGTTTGATGTTAGCGTAGGTGTTTGGTGAGTTAGCACAGGTGTTTGGTGAGTTAGCACAGGTGTTTGGTGAGTTAGCACAAGTGTTTGGTGAGTTAGCGTAGGTGTTTGGTGAGTTAGCACAGGCGTTTGGTGAGTTATTATAGGTGTTTGGTGAGTTAGCACAGGTGTTTGATGTTAGCGTAGGTGTTTGGTGAGTTAGCACAGGTGTTTGGTGAGTTAGCACAGGTGTTTGGTGAGTTAGCACAGGTGTTTGGTGAGTTAGCACAGGTGTTTGATGTTAGCGTAGGTGTTTGGTGAGTTAGCACAGGTGTTTGGTGAGTTAGCACAGGTGTTTGGTGAGTTATTATAGGTGTTTGGTGAGTTAGCACAGGTGTTTGGTGAGTTAGCACAGTGTTTGGTGAGTTAGCACAGGTGTTTGATGAGTTAGCACAGGGTTTGATGTTAGCGAGGTGTTTGGTGAGTTAGCACAGGTTTTGGTGAGTTAGCACAGGTGTTTGGTGAGTTAGCACAGTGTTTTGGTGAGTTAGCACAGTGTGTTTGATTGTAGCGTAGGTGTTTGGTGGTTAGCACAGGTGTTTGGTGAGTTAGCACAGGTGTTTGGTGAGTTAGCACAGGTGTTTGGTGAGTTAGCACAGGTGTTTGGTGAGTTAGCACAGGTGTTTGATGAGTTAGCACAGTGTTTGGTGATTAGCACAGGTGTTTTGGTGATTAGCACAGGTGTTTGATGAGTTAGCACAGGTGTTTGGTGATTTAGCACAGGTGTTTGGTGAGTTTATTCACAGGTGTTTTTGATGAGTTAGCACAGTGTTTGGTGAGTTAGCACAGTGTTTTGTGTGAGTTAGCACAGTGTTTTGATGAGTTAGCACAGGTGTTTGATGTTAGCGTAGGTGTTTGGTGAGTTAGCACAGGCGTTTGGTGAGTTAGCACAGGTGTTTGGTGAGTTACCACAGGTGTTTGATGAGTTAGCACAGGTGTTTGGTGAGTTAGCACAGGTGTTTGGTGAGTTAGCACAGGTGTTTGGTGAGTTAGCACAGGTTTGGTGTTAGCACAGGTGTTTGGTGAGTTAGCACAGGTGTTTGATGAGTTAGCACAGGTGTTTGGTGAGTTAGCACAGGTGTTTGGTGAGTTAGCACAGGTGTTTGATGAGTTAGCACAGGTGTTTGGTGAGTTAGCACAGGTGTTTGATGAGTTATTACAGGTGTTTGGTGAGTTAACACAGGTGTTTGGTGAGTTATTACAGGTGTTTGGTGAGTTATTTCAGGTGTTTGGTGAGTTATTACAGGTGTTTGGTGAGTTGGCACAGGTGTTTGATGAGCTATTATAGGTGTTTGGTGAGTTAACACAGGTGTTTGGTGAGTTATTACAGGTGTTTGGTGAGTTGTTACAGGTGTTTGGTGAGTTAACACTGGTGTTTGGTGAGTTGTTACAGGTGTTTGGTAAGTTACAGTTGTTTGGTGAGTTACAGGTGTTTGATGAGTTATTACAGGTGTTTGGTGAGTTATTATAGGTGTTTGGTGAGTTGTTACAGGTGTTTGATGAGTTGTTGCAGGTGTTTGATGAGTTGCTACAGGTGTTTGGTGAGCTGTTACAGGAGTTTGATGAGTTGTTACAGGTGTTTGATGAGTTACAGGTGTTTGGTGAGTTAACACAGGTGTTTGGTGAGTTATTACAGGAGTTTGATGAGTTGTTACAGGTGTTTGATGAGTTACAGGTGTTTGGTGAGTTAGCACAGGTATTTGGTGAGTTAGCACAGGTGTTTTGTGAATTACAGGTGTTTGGTGAGTTATCTAGGATGTATGGCAAGTTATCACAGGTGTTTGGTGAGTTATCTAGGGTGTATGGTGAGTTATCACAGGTGTTTGGTGAGTTATCTAGGGTGTATGGTGAGTTATCACAGGTGTTTGGTGAGTTATCTAGGGTGTATGGTGAGTTATCACAGGTGTTTGGTGAGTTCAGACCCAGAGTTATTCTAATGTATTTATTTTTTCAGACTGAGGGGCACAACTGGTCAGTGTATTCTTTGTAAAAAAAATTTCAGATACTTTTGGTCGATTTATTCTATTTTTATATTTTTGTTTCAGACCGAGGGGTGCGACCAATCGGTGAATTCGCCGGGAAAAAATTTCAAATAATCCCAGAGATGATTCCTGAAATTATTGTTCCAAATCTGGAGGGTTTTCAGGTGGGTCTTAATGTTGATAGTCGTCTCCCGTCAAGCTTCCCCGCGTGACACAGTGTTCCGTGCTTTGAAAAATTGAATAATATTTAATATGACGGGGATACAGTGTAATACAAGAAGTCTTCAACTTACAAATACATTGGGAACCTGTATTGTGTATGTAATATTAATAATACAATAAGTATTACTAATACAACCTCTCCTCACTTAACGACGGAGTTACGTTCCTAAGACCGCGTTGGTAAACAAATTCGTGGCTAAGTGAGGATCATACTATAATGGTAGTGGGTTTGTGTCAACCATCTTTGATATTGTTATAATGTCGCCTTTGTACTATTTATAACAATCTGGTATATTTTTAAATGTTTATACAGTAGTGTACAGTGGACCCCCGCATACCGATTTTAATCCGTGCAAGAGGGGTCATTGTTATGCGAAATAATCGGTATGCGAATGAATTTTCCCCATAAGAAATAATGGAAATCAAATTAATCCGTGCAAGACACCCAAAAGTATGAAAAAAAAAAAATTTTACCACATGAAATGTTAATTTTAATACACACAAACTGAAAAAGACATGCACAGTTACATGACACTTACTTTTATTGAAGATCTGGTGATGATTGATGGGATGGGAGGAGGGGAGAGAGAGTGTTAGTGTTTAGAAGGGGAATCCCCTTCCATTAAGACTTGAGGTGTCGAGTCCTTTTCTGGGGTTACTTCCCTTCTTCTTTTAATGCCACTAGGACCAGCTTCAGAGTCACTGGACTTCTTTCGCACAACATATCTGTCCATAGTGGCCTGTACCTCTCGTTCCTTTATGACTTCCCTAAAGTGTTTCACAACATTGTCAGTGTACAGGTTGCCAACACGGCTTGCAATAGCTGTGTGAGGGTGATTTTCATCAAAAAAGGTTTGCACTTCAAGCCACTTTGCACACATTTCCTTAATCTTTGTAGTAGGCAACTTCTTCAATTTCTCTCTCCCCTCCTCTGAACCAGTTTCCTCAGGTCTGGCCTCTTGCTCTTGAAGTTGATCTATCAGCTCATCAGTGGTTAGTTCTTCATTGTCCTCCTCCACCAACTCTTCCACATCCTCCCCACTAACCTCCAACCCCAAGGACTTTCCCAATGCCACAATGGATTCCTCAACTGGCATAATCCTCTCAGGGTTAGCCTCAAACCCTTCAAAATCCCTTTTGTCTACACATTCTGGTCACAGTTTCTTCCAAGCAGAGTTCAAGGTCTTCTTAGTCACTCCCTCCCAAGCCTTACCTATAAGGTTTACACAATTGAGGATATTAAAGTGCTCTCTCCAAAACTCTCTTAGAGTCAGTTGAGTTTCTGAGGTCACTACAAAGCACCTTTCAAACAGAGCTTTTGTGTACAGTTTTTTGAAGTTTGCAATAACCTGCTGGTCCATGGGCTGCAGGAGAGGAGTGGTATTAGGAGGCAAAAACTTGATGTTAATGAATTTCATGTCCCCATAAAGTCGCTCTGCCACGTCTGTAGGATGACCAGGGGCATTGTCTAACACCAGGAGGCACTTAAGTTCTAATTTCTTTTCAGTTAGGTAATCTTTCACATTGGGGGAAAATGCATGGTGTAAACCAGTCATAGAAAAAGTCCCTAGTGACCCATGCCTTACTGTTTGCCCTCCACAGCACACACAAATATTCTCCTTGAGGACATTCTTTTGCCTGAACGCTCTGGAGTTTCAGAGTGATACACTAATAAAGGCTTAACTTTGCAATCACCAGTAGCATTGGAACAAATCAAAAAGTAAGCCTGTCTTTCATAGGCTTATGTCCTGGGAGTGCCTTTTCCTCCTCAGTAATGTAGTCCTGCTTGGCATTTTCTTCCAAAACAGGCCTGTTTCATCACAAACACTTGTTCAGGTTTCAGTCCTTCAGTCTCTATGTACTCCTTGAATTCATGCACTATTTTTCAGCCGCTTTGTGGTCCGAACTGGCAGCCTCACCATGCCTTATCACACTATGTATGCCACTACGCTTCTTAAATCTCTCAAACCAACCTTTGCTGGCCTTAAATTCACTCACATCAGCACTAGTTGCAGGCATTTTTTTAATTAAATCCTCGTGCAACTTCCTAGCCTTTTCGCTTATGATCGCTTGAGAGACGCTATCTCCTGCTAGCTGTTTTTCATTTATCCACACCAATAAGAGTCTCTCAACATCTTCCATCACTTGCGATCTTTGTTTCGAAAATACAGTTAAACCTTTGGCAAGAACAGCTTCCTTGATTGCCTTCCTGGTGCCCACAATAGTAGCGATGGTTGATTGGTGTTTCTTGTACAACCTGACCAGGTCGGCGATACGCACTCCACTTTCATACTTATCAATGATCTTTCTTCATCTCTATTGGAATTCTCACCCTTATTGCTGTAGGGTTGGCACTAGAAGCTTTCTTGGGGCCCATGGTCACTTATTTTCCAGAAAAAGCACCGAAAACACAGTAATAATACGAAATATTCCGATTGTATGCTTGGATGTTACCGCGGAGGCTGGCTGGTAAACAATGCCACCGGCGGCACATGTGAGGCTGGCTGAGGGCGCACATTGGACGCATCTCGGACGAAAATCGGTGAGTGGGTTTTTAAGCGGTATGCGAGGCAAAATTTTTGCGATTAAAGCAAGCGGTATGCAGATTAATCGTTATGTGATGCCATCGGTATGCGGGGGTCCACTGTACTGTATATTGTAATAAACAGAATCAGGGAAATCTGCTCTAATATACATTATTTAAGTATGAATATTGGTCAGAGAGCCCGTCGTAAGTCCGAGGCGCCGGTAAATGAGTACGTACGTCGCTAGTGAAGAGGGCTGTATTGTACATATTTATTATAAAGTTTAATTGATAAATTACACATGTGGAGAATTATCACTTTTTCACTGATGGGAAGCACTTCACAGCCTCTCCTTAGACTTTGAACAACTGTCATCATCACTTCTTTTGTACTTCGTGGTCATTATTATGCTAAATTAAGATATATTTTTGGGCCACAGTAAACCATGGGTAACTGAAACTGCAGATATCAAATCGGTAGATATGGGGGGGTCCTACTGTATTTAAAACATTGATTTAAAAGTTGAACAGACCCACGTAAATTATAACCCAGCACAGTAACTACAGAGACGAAAGCTAATTTCATTTTATGTATTTCAGCTGAAGCCGTATGTGTCATACAACGTGCCGGATGTAATACAAGGTGAATTTGGGCCTCAAGATCTATTCTACGCAGTGTATAGTGAGAAGATCGCTGAAGACTTCAAGAATAACAAGCTCAACGAAGACGGCAGCCCAGTCGAACCCTCCAAGGAGGAATTATTAACATCAGAGGAGGCTAAGAACCGTGCACTCTCCATGTGTTCAGATATATTATAAACATTCATATGTATATTTCCATACAGTATACAGGTGACAAAAACTTAAACATCATGTCTGACAGTCTTAAATATATAATGTACATGTATGTATATTGTATCTCGTACATTGTTCTATATACAGTACAACACAACATATAATGTATCTTATACATAGTATATAGAGTACAGCACTATATAATTTATTTTATACATTGTATATACAGTACAGTATGCAATATATTATATACATTTTAGGCCTATGGTTATACTTATCAGGCAAATTTAAACCGGGACAAATTTGACTTGTGTCTAGACTACAGCAAGCTGCCCCCACACTCAAAATTACAAAATACATGCAAGACATAATGAAAGACATTTAGAAGTGTACAAAATGTCGGAGTTATGGATACAGTGTAGCTTATGATAATAAAAGGTAAATTTTCTCTATAATTTGCATATTTTATTCACCTCTCGTGTTGATCCCTCAAGCTGGTCGATGGTGAATGGCTCATGGTCCAAGGATATGGAGCTGTTTTTCCCTGGATTCAACCTGATTGACATTACTAAAGTGGTTAATGACCCTACTGGGTTTAGCACTCCAGGACTATAATGTGATGCACTAATATCAATGTTGTCGTTGCTCGCTCCCTTGACCACATGACTGGCTAATTCTAACGTACGGGTTTAGTGCTTAAATTTATTATTGTTACTGACTTATTTGCATATAGATTAATTTATTTTTATTACGCACCCCCATACCCGTCTTCCATATATATTCTTCCATTTTTGGAAAATTATTTTTGTGAACATAATTTAGCCATATATAATTGCCATACCTGTATTTGTGGCTACTAAAATAGATATATAGTAAGTCCTTTGACCACCTTCCCGTTGCCTTGGCACGTGCCCCCTATAGGTTTAGGGGACATCTCCCATCAAAAGAAGGAAGAACATTGACCATCTTTCATTCAATGGATTGTCTTGCCAGAAGTTCGGATAAATAATTCAGTTAACCCATAATATCCTCACCCGTCCTTCAGACCTGTTACATGTACAGCGTCTCCTCAGCGATGTACCTGTTTACCAATGATTCGGACTAACGACCAGCTCTGACCAGTATATCCCCTCAAGGAGGGGATATACTGGTCAGGGACTCTTTATCTAGGAAATTATATCTGTGCTCCCCTCAAGGAAGGTTCCTTGATGTTGGCGAGGGGCTCTTGATTTAGGGAATTGGATCTGTGCTCCAGTTCTCCAAATTAAGCCTGAATGCCTTCCACATCTCCCCCCCCCCCAGGTGCTGTATAATCCTCTGGGTTTAGCGCTTCCCCCTTGATTATCATAATATATCTGTGCTCCAGTTCCCTAAATTAAGCCTGAATAATTCCATCCCCCCCACCCACAGGTGCTGTATAATCCTACGGGTTTAGCGTTCCCCCATGATTATAATCTGACCAGTATGCAAATTTAAATAATATATATTAGAGGTGATTTCCTCTTATTCTGTTTATTACAATATACAGTACACTACTGTATAAACATTTAAAAATATACCAGAAATGTTATAAATGTTGTAAATGTGACAATATCAAAAATGGTTGACACAAACTCGCGACCATTATAGTACGATCCTCACTTAGCCACAAATATGTTTACCAATGTTGTCTTGAGAACGCAACTCTGTCATTGAGGAGAGGCTGTATGACCTTAATTTTTAAAGGGGTGGAGGTGTAAGCCGTGGAAGGCCTCGGTCAGACAACCAAAAGCTCCAGCTGTAGGTCATCATATGAGTAAGACCAGCGTCAGGAAACACTTGTCCTGTGTCCTAACAAACCTTACCTAACCTAACCATCCATCTGGGTACTGACATTATACTTTCCACTATCAACACTAAAGTTCAGCTAACTAGATCTTGAATCCCTTCATAAATGTTACCTTGATCACTCCAACAGCACGCTAAATCTCCCTGAATCCCTTCATAAATGTTACCTTGATCACTCCAACAGCACGCTAAATCTCCCTGAATCCCTTCATAAATGTTACCTTGATCACTCCAACAGCCCCGCTAAATCTCCCTAAAATCCCTTCATAAATGTTACCTTGATCACTCCAACAGCACGCTAAATCTCCCTGAATCCCATCATAAATGTTACCTTGATCACTCCAACAGCACGCTAAATCTCCCTGAATCCCTTCATAAATGTTACCTTGATCACTCCAACAGCACGCTAAATCTCCCTGAATCCCTTCATAAATGTTCCCGTGATCACTCCAACAACACATTAAAGCCATTAAACCACAAGTTAACACTAACCAAGCATATAACACCTTTAGCACTGCAGTGCTATAAGTATATTTACATACAGGTGCACATAACTACAATTATCATACAAATTGTCCTGTGGCTGGGTTGGTGACGCACTCAACTCACACACTAAGGTCCATGGTTCGATCCCTGGTATGGGTGGAAAAAACTAGGACATGTTTCCTTAAGACACCTGCTGTCCATGTTCACCTAGCAGTAAGTAGGTACCTGGGTGTTAGGTGACTGGTGTGGGTAGCATCCTGGGGACAAAATTAACCTAAGTTGTGGGAAATGCTCTACATAACCAGGAACTTTATATATAGTATGTCCTATTATTATTATTATTATTATTATTATTATTATTATTATTATTATTATATAGTATGTCAATAGTAATAATATAAAAATTAGATTTATTTCAACAAGTACATGTACAAGGTATACAAGTACATGTACAAGGTATACAAGTACATTACAAGTTATACCCGTACATGTACAAGGTATCCAAATACATGTACAAGGTATACAGTACATGTACAAGGAAAAACCCGTACATGTACAAGGTATACCAGTACATGTACAAGTTTTACAAGTACAATGAAAAAGGTATCCATACATGTCAAGGTATACCCTACATGTACAAGGTATACCTACATGTACAAGTATACAGTACATGTACAAGGTATACATACATTACAGGTATACAAGTACATGTACAAGGTATACCAAATACATGTACAAGGTATACAAATACATGTACAAGGGATACAAGTACATGTCAATGATACAATAATTTCAAGGGATACCAAATACATGTACAAGGTTACCCCGTACATGTACAAGGTATACAAGTACATGTACAAGGTATACCAGTACATGTACAAGGTATACCAGTACATGTACAAGGTATACCAGTACATTACAAGGTATACAAGTACATGTACAAGGTATACAAGTACATGTACAAGGTATACAAGTACATGTACAAGGTATACAAGTACATGTACAAGTTAACAGTACATGTACAAGGTAACAAGTACATGTACAAGGTATACAAGTACATGTACAAGGTATACAAGTACATGTACAAGGTATACAAGTACATGTACAAGGTATACCAGTACATTACAAGGTATACAAGTACATGTACAAGGTATACAAGTACATGTACAAGGTAAACCAGTACATGTACAAGTTACAATACATGTACAGGTATACAAGTACATTACAAGGTAAAACAATACATGTACAAGATATACAAGTACATGTACAGGTATACAAGTACATGTACAAGGTATAACCAGTACATGTACAAGGTATACAAGTACATGCACAAGGTATACCAAATACATGTAAAAAGGGAAACAGTACATGTACAAGGTATACAAGTACATGTACAAGGTAAAATATATGACAAGGTATACCATACATGTACAAGGTATACCAGTACATGTAACAAGGTATACCAGTACATGTACAAGGTACACAATTACTGTACAAGGTACACAAGTACATGTACAAGTATACAAGTACATGTAAAAAGGTACACAAGACATGTACAAGGTATACCATACATGTACAGGTATACCAGTAACATGTACAAGGGTAGCATGTACAAGGTATACAAGTACATGTACAAGGTATACAAGCACATGTACAAGGTATACAAGTACATGTACAAGGTATACAGTACATGTACAAGGTATACCAAAATTACAAAATACAAGTATACAAGTACATGTACAAGGTATACAAGTACATGTACAAGGTATACAAGTACATGTACAAGGTATAAAGTACATGTACAGGTATACCAGTACATGTACAAGGTTATACAATACATGTACAAGTATACCAGTACATGTACAAGGTAAAACCAAAACATTTACAAGGTATACAAGTACAGTACAAGGTATACAAGTACAGTACAAGGTGGAAAACCCTGGTAATAAATACCGACAAGTTGGTTAGAAAGACACGTAAGCAAACACTATAACAAAATTTATTAAAAACGTTTCGGGTCCTGGACCTTTTATCACTTCTAACTACAAGTAAAAACAATTTTATATAAAGGCGGGGAGTGAGTTGAACTATGGGAATGTGAAGAACTAAGAATGGAGGAACACTGTAAAGGCCACTGGTCATGCGAGGCATTCCTTATCAAACAACTTCTGCCTAGAATAAGGACGGGTTAGCCGATGAAATCATGTGACTCCTGTGACCAGCCTAACCTGGAGCTCATTAAAACCTTTTGAACTTGGTCATGATTATGACCAGATGTAGTTCATTACCTTTGTAACTTGATCAGCTATCAAAACTTTGGAGCCATCCCGGGCCAATTATGTACCTCTGAAAAAATTTTTACTACCCCCACAGATGGGAGGGGGCAAAATAAACATATAAACTGAAAATGTGTTGTTGGGTTGGTGCTGCTTTAAAATCAATGCCAATGTTTTTTTAAATTTTGTATTTCCAGTGTTGTTTTCATAGTGTCGGGGACGGCGTTTATGAGGCTTCTAGCACCGCGGCCTGAGTCTGGGTTTGGTGGAACGAGTTGGGCCCCGTTTCCCGTTCACAAATCCCCCCTGGAGTCCTGTGGAGGACACAGGCGTACCTTACACGTCTCTTTAGAGGGATTTTGAGTTCATTTTAGGCGACGAAGATCTCGCCTTCTCCCTACATATTCTTTGGACAGAACCCCCAGGGGAAGTAGAAAGCCTGCGTAGAAGTTTGAGGGGTTTGGGGGTGCGTTTTAGTATAGGTCTTTGATAGAGGGTGTGTTTTTGGGGGAAACGTGATGTTACCATAGCAATGCCCTCGAGTATTTTCAGTTCAAGGTATACCCTACATTACAAGGTTTTCAAGTCATGACAAGGGAAATTTCCAGTACAGTACAAGGTATACCAGTACAGACAAGTATACAATTTCGAACAAGGTATACCAGACAGTACAAGGTATACAAGTACATGAAAAAATTTAAACCATACATTACAAAAGGGTTTCCAGACATGTACAAGTAACAATACATGAAAATTTTACAAGTACATGTACAAGGATACCAGTACATGTACAATAACAAAAACATTACAAGGTTTTAAGTACAGTACAAATATACCATACATTACAAGGTATACAAATACATGTA